TGAATCAATGCGAATGGTTTTGTTCGAGATTGTGATCCAATTAGCTTGATTCAGAACTCAATGTCTAAGGACCGGGCAATTCTTGCACAACATTCCACTTGATTGTGTCAAAATGAAGGCTGCAAAATGAATTGCAGAGACTACCAGCGTAGCACCGAACTCTTATGTTCTTTTCATCTCAAGTAAATGATGACAATAATCCGATTGTCGAAGAGATATTAATTGCGGGATCGCCCTTTTCAGAGAACTAGTTTATTTTCAAACCGGTTTCTTGGTATTGATGCGCTCTACGTGATGAACCTTGTTTTTTATCCGTCTTGAAGTTGCAAGTGTAGTGAATTCCACATAAGATGAGGTAAGCAGAGGGGTACGTTAGGTCAATCCAGATGCAATGGGTGTTTATTTGTCGGCGATAACTTACCTAAATATTCTCCAGTGACGCAGTCTCTCAGTGAGGTATAGTACAATGGCGTGATTTGTAACACGTTTGCACACGTCGGACTTATAAATCCAAGCCTACCACATTGTAAGATGCAAGTTATTTGTTTATACAGGCGACTAAAGCGGTGATAAGGTTGAGCGCTGCAGCTTCCAACTAGATGGCCATAATCGGCACTGCGGAGAGGCTTCGTCTACTTTAGCAGTATACCATCATGCTGAAGACCAGTCTGTTGAACACGTGAATCAAGGCGCGGAAGTCAGTTTATATCGGCCGCGGTGCGCATAAATGCTGCCTTGTGAGCAGCAAGCAATGCTTGCATTTTCAAAGCACTTCACTCACACTGGGAAATGCGTCCTCATTGATTGTCATCGACGAGCGGGCTTCCTGTAATTCTTCCTCTCCGGTGGAAATGCGGTAGCACTGCCGCGTTCTTTAATATGAAATATTAAATGCTTGGAAGGAACACCTTCATACCCAGAGAACAGTATGCACCGTGGCAGTTCTGGAGTACCGGAGCATGTTGTTCCCTACTACATGAATCCCNTATCCTTCTGGCATGGTCGATCACGTCTGAGGACTTCAGGCATAGAAATCGATCTGCTCAGAAATGATCTGGGCTAGCAAGCTCGGCTAACTGTCTAGCTAAAATGTATAGATTACACGGTCCAGTACACCCGACGAAGAGCGAGATGTGCAGCACCACGTAATTGTTCTTACCACTTTGGTAAAATAATTATAGTCTAACCCATTTGTTCAGGACTCAATGTTAACAAAAGCAGAGGCCGCGGGTCCTGGAAAGGCCATAAACATTGATTTCACTGGAAAATAATTGCGAAGCATTGCTGGTTTTCTGG